GTAAATAATTTGATAATGATAGCAGTATTAATGTGAGGAACATTGATAATGAGAATAATAATTATTGGAAGTTAAAATTTCTCTTTCAATAAAAATTCAAGAAATCTGATACATAGGTGACACTAGCCGACCTTTCATTGTCATGGAAAAAATTTGATTGTGGTTTTTATGACGACAGTGGTGTCTTCTGAGGCTGTTGCAAACTTGCTATTTATTGAATAAGACTGAATTTGGGCTTGGTTTGAAGGGAAAGGATTGCATTTATTGTTGACAGAAAAAAAATACCATACCTAAGTTTAAAATGTAAAAATCATATTTTGCATAAATTTATCCAAATGTCACCCCAATTAGTGTGGAAGAGAATATATGCAGCACAGAGCATTTTGTTGGGCAGGCAGAAATGGGAAAGGGTTATAAAAAAAAAAAAAAAATTGAACTGGTTTCATTTCAACCGAAGTTTAGAGATGTTTGTTTGAAGATTGATTTTTCATATATATATATATATATATATATATATATATATATATATATATATATATATATATATATATATATGTATATATATATATCCCTTCTTTTGACAAAATACAGTTTAGTATTACAGAATTCATTGAAAGTGTTTCAACTAAAGAATGTTATCTAATATATTACATATTATTGTATTATGTAAAGTAGAATCTGTAATTACACTTAGAATTTAAAGTTATCTATTTTGAGCCCTGCCTTCATTTTATTAGCATATATTTTATAGTTTATTATGCTTTGTTTGTTATGAATATGAGGAACGGAATGCATTACCGTGTATCATTCATGTTAATTTCCTTGTACACGGAAAGACAGACACATAGGAAACTATTATTAGACATTATAAATAGTCTCTTATTTTGTGTGAAGAACAAAGGAGATGTTTCAATTAGCTCTGACCTTGGGATTCTTGACATTGTTTGTCATGAGAGTTGTTTTATAAAACTAAATGTTATTATGCTTTTATTTTTTGTTGTTTCGTTTAGTAATAAGGAGGGAGGTTGAGAGCAAGGTATGGGAAAGAGGGAGAATAAGAGAGGGATAGATAGGAGAGGAGAGGGAAAGAGAGTGTTAAAAAGGAAAGAAGTAGAGGAGAAAAGAGTCAAAGATGTCCTACGCTGTAATAAACTTACTCCTTTGGACACAAATTCCTTTAAGTTGTTTTTACTTTCTTTTCTATATTCATTCAGTGGATGATCACTTCATTGCCTTATTCTATGCATCCATTAGCTTCCCCCCATTCACTTCGGCTCTGTCTTTGTCCTCCGCAGAACGACTTCACTCCCGATGACTTCTCGCACATGTCGGCTCCTTTGCTCTACGCCATGTTCAAGAGTAAGACGAAGCACCCTCTGCATGCGGCCATCAGACTGCAGAGAGAAGACGTTGTTTTCTTGTACCTCATCGAGTTCGACTCTCAGGTCAGTAGAAAGCCGTAGAGTATTCATTCTTTTTTTCTTTTTCTTCTTCTTATTTTTTAAAATTATTTAATGTGAAATGGATACAGTAAGGAGGAAAAAGGGAAAATGTGTGGTGTTTCGATTCTAAAGGTTGTCTGCTTAAAACTTCGTCTGTGAAGGGTGGTCATGAGAGACAGTTTTATTTATTTATTTAGGTTTTATTTTATTTTCTCTTCTCTTTTCTCCTGGGAGCAGGGTTGGTTTGGACTGTTTTTGTGTATGAATGGGAGAGGGAAGTTTGTATTTGTATGATGGATCACGCATAATGATCTGTAGTTTTAGTTAATATTTTACATAAACTCCAGTGCTCTTTTGTCTGGAAGTTAATAACAAATAATGTTCTTAATAATCCTGCTCTTTTGTCTGGAGGTTAATAACAAATAATGTTCTTAATAATCCATATCAGCCTGGAATTTGTATTTCTTTATCCAGTCGATTTACCTGCTTTGGGGATTAGAAACCACTCAGAATTTCAACTGAAGGTGATTGGAACATATAAAATTGTTTTCATTACCTTTGGGAAGGATACACATTTATTCCTCAGTAACATTTATTCCATATTAAACATTGAAATATATCATTATCAATAGTCAAATGAATGCTAACATAATATCACAGTCTTTATACAGAGCACGCTGTAGCTCTGTAAGTTTTCACTATAGGTACTTTAAGTAATGATTGAATTTTTTTAAGTAAATGATTACATAGCCATCTTTATTACAAAATAAGAGAATTACTTACATCATAATGAAAGAAGTCACAAGAAAGCACAGCCATGCACATTGACTAGTCTATTACATCTGTAGGTCAGCTGTTCCCAAGTTTTACTAAGCACCATGTTTGGACTTCTGGAGTAATGGGTAGTCTGTCAAACATAAGTCAATGCCTCGTAATGTTGGACTTCTGGAGTAATGGGTAGTCTGTCAAACATAAGTCAATGCCTCGTGTACTCTGCAGTAGTTAAGAACGTGGATGCTTGTTGTGTGATGGCTCAGAAAATATTTGAAGAGTCTCTTGAAGCTATGATTTATATAAAAGTATTCTAAAGATTTAGATAAGGATTGTTTTTGTTTTTTTTGCATGATATAAAATTTAACATTCTTGGATTTGTAGACAAGTATTTACAGTTCCCAAATTAAATTTGGAATCGGTTAGTTCCCAAAATCTGACACCCTACCTAAAGACTTCCCAAGGAAGTTTCACAACATTTCCATGTAAACCTTAGCATAACCAGAAACCAGAAACATCCTGTATTTACTCATAGTAGAAGATTTGCAGTTGAAGATTATGGAAAGGAGATCTGAGTGTATGTATTATTTTATAATATCTATGGGTTTGGAAATATCAGGATGAACTTGACCATCGGTAATTGTAAAAAAGTGCCGTTGCCAATAGGATTGCCAGGACAACTGTAGAAGACAAGTTGGCCGTCGTTCCGTTACAGAGATTGTGGCTGCAGTAACAGTACTCGGATGAGGGCGGTTTGTATAAGCTCTTGTGTTGGATGCAGCCTTCTTTGACCAGGCCTGCCTCGGCATAGCGAGCGTTGTCGGTGGTGTTTGGGGTACAGCCATCCATTGTTTTCACAATTATGTTTTCTGCTGAAAGTGGAAAGAAAAGGAGTAGAAATGAATATTTTTGGCTTTAAGTGGAAAGAAAATGAGTAGAAATAAATATTTTTGGCTTTAAGTGGGAAGAAAATGAATAGAAATGAATATTTTTAGCTTGAAAAAAAAATGTTTAAAGGATATATGTAGAGTTTACTGAATCTCCTCTATGACCATTATAAAGAAAAAAATGAAATACTGTATAATTGTCATAACTTTTTTTCTTCTTTTCTCTTCTTTCTCTCAAACAAAGAGATACTTACCGTTTGACAATGGCAAAGTTATCCGCTGGTAAATGCAAAGCTTCGAGTCTGGGCAGTTCATGATGTATCTGTCTGAGCCATCAAACTCCGAACAAGGATAGACGTAACGATTGTGCCTCTTCATTCTCTGGTTGTTGTGTACACACTCGTAACACTTGACGCCGCCCACTGTGGAAAGGAATAATCTCGGATGTGAATGTGCGTGATGGGTTTTGGTATCTGTATATCTGTATATATGTGTATCTGTATAATGTGGGACGGTAATGGTGAAAATCATTTTAAATATTTTGGTTCAGCTACCTGTTACTACTTGTTTTGTTATTATTATTATTATTACTATTATTGTTATTATTACTATTACAATAACTATTACTATTACTATTTTGTTTACGATTATTATGATGACATACATACATACTTACATTCATACATACATACATACATACACACATAGACACACACACAGACATGCGCACACACATACAGACATGCGCGCACTCACACACACACACACGCACACACAGACACACAGACACACAGACACACACACACACACACACACACACACACACACACACACACACACACACACACACACACACACACACACACACACACACACACAGAGTACTAGTTTCCAAAATGATCTTCAAAGCAAATATAGAGCATTATCTGAAGCAGTGGGCGACCTTACTTGACATGCATTGCTTTAAAGGGTCAAGGGTCAAAGGTCAGAGGTCAAAGGTCAAACATCAGCCACTGCATCGGGTTGCTTTGGTGAATTATTACAAAGATTTGTTTTTAATACCTGTTGGTGTGAGGAGGAGGATGAGGGCCAGGAGCAGGGCTGGCACCAGGAGCCTCCGGGGTGCCAGCGAAGGGCGGCCTGAGGTGGCACTCCTCCTGCTCTCCTCGGGTGGCACTCTCCTCGCAGATTCGACCATCACTGCTTTTTTTCTCTTCTACTTCTTCTTCTTGTCTGTGGAAGGAAAATTCATGTTTTAGGTCAGGGAAGAGGTGGCGAGAAAGAAAAAAAAAAAAAAGGAGAGAAAAAGAAAAATCCTGTGTGTGTATGTGTAAGTGTATGTGTATGTGTAAGTGTGTATGTGTGTGTGTGTGCATGTGCATGTGCATGTGCGTGTGCGTGTGCATGAGATTTCTCTGGAGAGTACCCGTAGCACTCGCCGCTTTGACACCGACGAATGGGACAATCTCGTTCATTTTTTAGGGGCGTATTTCTATTAGGCACGTGAATATTCATTGCCACAAACTGCCGTTATCATCATAAACATCACCAATATAATTATCATCAGTCATCACCATCATTGTTATTATCTTTACCATCATCATCATCATCACCACCATTTTTATCATCATCATCATCATCATCATCATCATCATCATCATCATCATCATCAGTCACTATCACCACCACCACCACCATTTTTATCTTATGACTAAGACCTGATGATTGACATTTATATATATATATAAAAAAGAGGCATTCATATGAAAGGAATGTAAATTAAACGCGTTTCTTAGAATTCGCTTATTCTTTTTCTGTCCCGCTTACTCCCTCGCGATTTCCAGGGAATGGAATTCGAGGAGAGAGAAGTAGAGAGTAGTTGTAAAAAAAAGAAAAGAAATGAAAAGAAAAGAGAGAGAGAGAAAAAGAAAAATTCTGCGTATTTCATGGCGGCCGTATGTTCGTGTTTTTTTTCTCACTTTTTTTGTTTTTGTATTTTTTCTTTGTATTTTCATTTATTTTTTTTTTCTTAGTTTTATTTATTTTCTTTGTTTTTTTTTCTTTTTCCTCCTCCTCCCCCTCCCCCTCCCCCTTCCTCCTCCTCCTCCCCCTTACCCCCTCCTCCTCCTCCTCCTCCCCCTTACCCCCTCCTCCTCCTCCCCCTACCCCCTCCTCCTCCTCCCCCTACCCCCTCCTCCTCCTCCCCCTACCCCCTCCTCCTCCTCCCCCTACCCCCTCCTCCTCCTCCTCCTCCTCCTCCTCCTCGACTGCAACATTTTTCTTGGAAAGGAGAGACGTCGGAGTGAACGGCGAGGTCGAAGTGGGTTGGGTCTCGACGTGCTGGCGTTCGGGGGCTGAGAGTGAGGGCAGTTCTGAAGGCAGGCACGGCAGAAGGAAGGGGTGGAAATGAGGGAGAGGGGGAGAGGGAGGGGGGAGAGGGAGAGAGGGAGAGAGAGAGGGAAGGGATATATACGAACGTATGTACAATGATAGACATGTGTCGCACGGACAATGGACATTCGCACTTGTCTGTTTGTCTGCTTGTTTCTCTCTCTCTCTCTTTCTCCCTCCCTCCCCTCCCTCCCTTCCTCCTCCCTCCCTCCCTCTTCCCCTCCTTCCCTCTCTCCTCCCTCCCTCCCTCCCTCCCTCCTCCCCTCCCTCCTTCCCTCCTCCCCTCCTTCCCTCCCTCCTCCTTCCCTCCCTCCCTCCCTCCCTCCCTCTCCTTCGCCGAGAAAGGGCCCGGCAGAAAAGAGGACTGACGCAACGCCGTCCTTAACAGGCGTAGGATGCGGGCGTAGAGGATGGTTTAAGGACGATCAAAAGTCCCCCGCCGCTGCCGCCAGGAGTGCCAGGCAGGGAGGGAGGGGGGGAGAGGGAGGTCTGGCGCGGGTGGCACGGGAGGGAGGGAGGGAGGGAGGGAGGGAGGGAGGGAGGGAGGGAGGGAGGGAGGGAGGAGGAGGAGGAGGAGGAGGAGGAGGAGGAGGAGGAGGAGGAGAAGAAGGAGGGGAGGGGGTAGGCTCGCGATCGTGCCAGCGAACGAAGGTTTTGGCGGACAAAGGAGATGACGGCGAGGGCGGAGGAGGAGGAGGACGAGGAAAAGAAGGAGGACGAGGAAAAGAAGGAGGACGAGGAAAAGAAGGAGGACGAGGAAAAGAAGGAGAAGAAGAAGGAGGAGGAGAAGAAGAAGAAGAAGAAGAAGAAGAAGAAGAAGAAGAAGAAGAAGAAGAAGAAGAAGAAGAAGAAGAAGAAGAAGAAGAAGAGGAGAAGGAGAAGGTGGAGGAGGACAAGGACTATGACGAACAACAACAACAACAACAAAAGGCGGTGAGACAAAGAGGCGTGACTTGACCGTGTCTGCACTCGGCCTGTTTACGTATTAATTCGATTCCTCGTGCAGGAGACGTCCCGGATGTGTTTATTATTCAACATGCTGGCGAGAGAGAGAGAGAGAGAGAGAGAGAGAGAGAGAGAGAGAGAGAGAGAGAGAGAGAGAGAGAGAGAGAGAGAGAGAGAGAGAGAAATTTATGACTTTGGATAGAAAGAAAGAGAGAAAGGGATAGAAAGTGAGATTGGAAAGCTAGAGAGAGAGGGAGAGAGAGAGAGAGAGAGAGAGAGAGAGAGAGAGAGAGAGAGAGAGAGAGAGAGAGAGAGAGAGAGAGAGAGAGAGAGGGAAAGAGAGAGAGAGAGAAATTTATGACTGTGGATAGAAAGAAAGAGAAAGGGATAGAAAGTGAGATTGGAAAGCTAGAGAGAGAGAGAGAGAGAGAGAGAGAGAGAGAGAGAGAGAGAGAGAGAGAGAGAGAGAGAGAGAGAGAGAGAGAGAGAGAGAGAGAGAGAGGAAGCAATGGCACATGGCGTGGGTACGTTACGCGCTGATCAATGGCTCAACCCACTTCCCCCCCCCCTCCTCTTCCCCTCGAACCAGTGACAGCACACGCATGGCACACTGTCAAAGCCCTCACGAATGCCGATGGATGAAAGGAGAGGCGGGGGTAAGGAAGAGAAGAGGGAGGGGAGGGGAGATGAAAGGACGGAGGGAGAGAAGGAGGAAATGAAAAAGACCATCCACCCTTCTCTCTCTCTCTCTCTCTTTCTCTCTTCTCTCTCTCTCTCTCTTTCTCTCTTCTCCTCCCTCTCTCTCTCCCTCTCTCTCTCCCATACTCTCTCTCCTCTCTCTCTCTCTCTCTCTCTCTCTCTCTCTCTCTCTCTCTCTCTCTCTCTCTCTCTCTCTCTCTCTCTCTCTCTCTCTCTCTCTCTCTCTCTCTCTCTCTCTCCTCTCTCTCTCTCTCTCTCTCTCTCTCTCTCTCTCTCTCTCTCTCTCTCTCTCTCCTCCTCTCTCCTCTCCCTCTCCTCCTCTCTCCTCTCTCTCCTCTCCCTCTCTCTCCTCTCCCTCTCTCTCT